AAAAATGGTAACTTTTCTTTAATTTTTCTCAATTCATTTTCATCGTAATAAAAGATTTGAGGTGAGAATTTTCCAGTTTGGATCGAACTTTTTCCTAACTTAACTAGAACTTCCAAGAAAAAAACAGTCAGTGACAAAGTATGGGTTGAGTGTGGTTGTAAAGCATCTTCATTCAGTTTGGTTTGCAGTAGATTAGACAGCTACTAATTACTCTGAAGACAATAAAATAATAATCCAGTTAAGCTAAACATTTCTTCCTACATTGCGCAAAAGCATCTTTCATTAATTCGAAAATAAAACCGTGCGTTGTAATTGGTTGGAACGTAATTTTATTAGTGGTTAATTATGCTCTAGTCACGTGATTCGTGCCCATGGCGAGGGTCTAATTGTGTAAGTAAAAACAAACTTGTCGAACGGTAATGAAAAATAAATGAAATATTAGGAAATTTGACCTACAAATCTACCGAACCTTGCGGATCAATAACGTTGACGAGTTGTTGAATCATTAATGGACTAAATCTAATAGACATCTTCGGCTCTGACGTAATGTTTTCCCATTTCAGACCACATGTCATTCCCTAGAGTATCATTTCTTTTTTTAAGGTTTGCGCTCGGTTGCGTATGAGAAGGCACATGAATATGTATACAGCTCAAACAAAGAATCCTATTCTCAAGGGAATGACATGTGGTCTGAAATGGGAAAATATTACCCCAAGCCGAGGAGATCTATTGGGCGTAATGAAATAGAGAGAATAAGAAAAAAATATCAAATGCCCTTGGCGGGAATCGAACCCACGTCTTCGGTATTCCAGTCCTATGTGTTAACCACTAAATGTAGGGTACTCGTATTATTGGGCGTAATGTTTTCCTAATTTAGACCAAGTGTCATTCTCTTGAGAATAAGATTCTTTGCTTGATTTATATCCTTATTCATGTGTCTTCTGATGCGCAACCGTTAAATAAGGGAATAATACTCTAGGGAATGACACATGGCCTGAAATGGGAAAATATCATTTGAACCATACTGTTCTCTCTGTTCCAGAATTCAACCATGAACTATACCAATTCAACACTGAGCTACGGACGACCCCCGTCTATCCCTCCCGCATACATACTGGACAGAGTGTGGGCATATGTTTTCGTTGGTATCTACGTCCCTCTCAGTATTGCTATCACCTTGGGTAACGCCCTGGTTATCGCTGCTTTCTTCACCACACCTAAACTCAAAACAAAGACCAACTATTTCATCGTGTCGCTGGCGGTGGCCGACTTGATCGTCGGTACATTCTCTGTCCCTATGTGGATGTATGTACTAGTCACGCAGGATTTTTCGAACCCGTTGTATAAGGCGTTTCAAGCGGTGGATATGGTGTCGGGTGTGTCGTCTATTATGCACCTGACCTGTATCAGTTTGGAGAGGTGTTACGCTATCATTGCACCACTCAAGCACATGAGAATCAAAAAAGGTAGGTCGCCACTTAAAAAGATGGGTTCATATAAGCCTATTAATGGACCCATCTTATACTCATTAATAATTCATGAGCTCATCGACCAACAGGAGTTTCTTATTTGTACCACGTGCAGTAGTTTGAAACCCCCATCAAGTGTACGACCGCACCCATTTTAAAGTTGTAGTACTTTGAAATTGTTCAAAGTCCTACTACTCAGACTTTGAAATATTTCAAAGTACTAGAACTTTGAAATAAAAACAAACATAACAAAAAGAGTATACGATGTCGTGTCAAATACTCGTCACTGTATTCTATTGGGGTTTCAAAATCGGCTACTCCTCGGCATTTGAAATTCCACTCGGATTTTGAAACCCCAATAGAATAAAAAAAAGAACTTGGATGCGAAGATAGCATGAAAATACGAAATAAATCACACTTTTTCTCGATGGAATTTGTAGCATTTCTTGTACTTTCATGTTAGCCTCGCATTCAAGAAAATTTTAAGAAGGGTGCATTCTACACACAACCAGTTGATCTGACTAGGCTCGCAAAGCATGATTTCCTTATTGAAAAAAGAATCAATCCCATCAACCACCGCACGCTGAATTCACTTGAGTATCGTGGCGGCCATCTTGGGAAAAAAATTAATATGTGCGACTTTTTTGCAAATAAACCTTTTCTTGTTGAAAACGAGACACTTTCAATAACAGTTATAAGGTTTTATTTAAGGTTTAAAGTATCTTGGAGATTGCCAAAGACCCAAGATCAGCAAAAGATTTGGAATTTGTAGTTAAATCTTATCAAGAAATCGAGAAAAGTTTTTCGCCAGCTCCTTCAAGAGCTTTGAAGTCAGTGACGGTCCTCCCATTGCGCAGACCATTTTTATCCTCAAAATGATAATTTATATCTCTTTTCCAGCTGTCCTATATTCAGCCATCGTCATGTCATGGTCTTTAGGAATCCTATCGTCAGTTCTCAAGACGTCCACGGGTTCGAACAAAAAATTTGTCGTGACATTCGTGACGAGCGGGTTCTTCTTTACGCCGTTGCTTGTGATTTTTATAGCGTATTTCTTGATATTTATCACGGCCAGGAGAAGCATTACAGCCCACAGAGGGAGATCTTTGAAAAAGGTAAACTTCAAAAAGACGATATACCTTAATAGTTACATGAATATCACATGAGCGCGCACTGGCCCTGCGTCAGTGTGAATACAACATCAAAATGACGGGAAAAAATTATCACACTTTTGCTGACGAATACTGTCGTGACACGGCAAAGGATACACCAGGCCAATCACATTGCTCGAGAATAGCGCAGCGCGCTGATTCTAAAAATAGCTTAAAGATTCGGACAAACATTGCATTCTGTTTAGCCGCTACGAGGATTATACGAACCGATTTTATTATTTTTACTTAAAGTTACAATAATAACCCATGTAAACTAAGATCAACTGCGATCGGCTGTGAAAATTATCTGCTAAAAGTAAACTTGTAAGTTTGTTTGTCCGAATTTCGTCTTTGTCTTCGTTTTTATGACGTCACGGCTGCGCTGCGCTATTTACTCTCCATCCAATCAAACAAACACACGAGATAAACACGGCGCGGACAATGTCACGGCACGGCTGCCAGACCAATCACGTTGCTCGAGAAAAAAATCAGCCAAATCAAATTCTAGAAAACAGCACGGTCACGGCACGCAACGCTTACGGCGCTGAGCTTTTCACAGTTATGCAAAAACTGCTCTATTTCTGTTCATAAAGAATACTCATGATACTTTACCGAAATTTATCTATATTTTTTTGCACTTTTCTCCTTTCTCCAAGGATCTCCACATCGCGTACACTGTAGCTGTGGTCATAGGTATCTTCGTTATCTGTTGGCTACCGTTTTTCATCATCTCTTTATTATACACGTATTGTCCATCGTGTACCTTCGTCTGGGACATGCGCGTCGTCATGACGGTCAAGATCTTCCATTATTCAAACTCCGTCTTCAACCCCATCATCTATTGCGTAAGAAACAGACGGTTCTACTTGGCTTTCGCGAGGATCTTGCGTAACCCTTTAATCTGTAAGGACAATAGCTCGAATGACGAATTGGATTCGACGCGTATGAATTACAAAATGACCAATCGAAAGAAGAATATGAATTGCAATGGTCAGGATGAAACTTGTCGCTTGACTGTACGATTTAAAGGGGCACTTGGATGAAAACACCCCGATTTTTGAAAATCCGAATAAGTATTTGAGGACAATATGACTTAATTATAATTATGAAAATCAGATAAGTGAAGGTTTTAGCCTGGGAGACACTCGCTGTTGAGATATTTTGGGTTAAAAGCGAAAAGAACAATAGGGTTGAGTAAATGACGTCATTTACTCACAATTTAGATACTGAATAAAATTGATAATTTTCTCCCGCCACTTTTGACTGTGAAGGAAGCGTGTTGCTTGGCTACTATCTGGGCAATATAGATAAGTTTAAACAAGTTTAAAGTCTTTTCCAATTTTCATTGATTTTCATCCAAGTGCCGCTCTAACGGTCAAAAGAATGGAGTTCAACTGGAATGTATATTCATACACTAAACTGATCATTCTGGGCGGGTTGGAATATGACTGTCATCCGGAGTGTTTTCAAGAAGAGTGGCTGTTACATATGAAGCCTGTCTATAGATTTTACATTTAACACTTATTTACTGGAACCGAGGGAAACAATTTGTTTGAAGTCCCGAGACGGCGATGTTTTCCGAGACGAATTCTTTGACTTACACTGGAAAAGTTATTCAATCAATCGATCAGTCAACTTTTTTTAAGGAAGGTGACACGTAACACAGTAACAAATCTGTTACCCTCCATCTCCATATTGGTGCCCGCTGAGAACCGTTGCCTGGGAAACATCGAAACCCGTTCACGTTCACGTGATACGCTCTCGCCCAATCAGAGTATGAGAAAAATGGACTTTGACTGTTGGAATATGAAAATAATCTTTATTCTTATTTTTAAAATTCCAAAGTAGTGCGACTAGCCACCCAAACCAGACCTCAAGATCTGTCCCCGCGTAAGTCTCAATAACTTGAGCATTATTTCTTTCTTTACCAAAACGCTTTATAATAGATTATTATTAGTGAATTTTAACATAGAAGTAAGGAAACGACACGTGATCTGAAATGGAAAAATATTTCAGTTCGCCCTAACTACGCATGACTTAACGTTACCAATATTAGGAAAACGCCTTTTTGGCGCGATTCATTGTTATATAATCCTCAGAGTCCCAAGATATTGTACATAAAAAGTGTAGTTAATTAATTAATAACGAAATAACTGATTGGTTTTGAGATTAGTTGCTTATTAGGGGCGAGGTCAAAACAATGGTCCAAAATAGGGACCCGATTTTATGAATTAGGTTGATGGGTACCGGTACGTACCCCCTCCCCCCTCAGAGACCTGTTCAAATGCTCGATACTGGGGGTCCGTAGTGGCAATTTCTATACACAAATATGCTTGTAAGCATACATTCAGASAGACAGTCCATTYATTTCTGTGATTTGGCTTTTAGTTTTGGAGATATTTGGGGACAAAATCTRAGATTTCACTTCCAGGGGTGGTGGGTACCGGGTAACACCACCCCTCCCCCCTAAATATGGTCCCGTAAGATGACAATTGTTTTGCCCTCATCCCTTAGGTATTCCGAGGTTAAATTGAGTTTGCAGTGCATTGTGGGATTTTTTATAGTTGACCTAATACACACCATCTTGGAAATATGTTTCCTGGTGAAACTAGACCCACACTGTAATGCCAAACTCGACCCAGTCTTTTCCTCAACGTGTTGATGGCTGATTGATAACTTCCCTTTTATACACAAGCTAGGTTACCTTTCAACATGGCCGCCATYATTCGATACCTTGTATTTGTATGACTTATTATTTTTGAGCACACAATAAACATAAAAGGCACGCGACAGTTTCATTTAGCTTTTTCAGTTCAAATATAAATGTAATCAATGTCGATAAAAACAATCAGATTCTTGGTTCTCGGGCTTGTGGAGGGGAGTGATTGTGACACAAATGGCTTTGAACGCATACTCACTCCTTTCCATAAACAGAACATAAATTTGATCTGTTTAAAAATTTATCTGCAATGAAGACGTTATGTTGGGATTTTTACTATTTGGTTTATCTTTAAGGACCATACTTCCAGATCATACATCGAGTGGTGAACCGTTGTATGGCAGCGCGAAGCATTTACGGCTACGCCGGAGATTTCGACCCCGACACCGCTATCCGAGGATTTACAAACTGATCAGGAAGCTTGGCCGAAGCCTAAGGGAGAGGTTAGTCGGCCCCTAGACCGTACATGATTAACCCCTTGCTAAGGTACTTTCAAAGGATTATTCAAATTTGAACCTTGCAACCTCGACTCAAAGCTTGTGTTTGACCAGTGAACCGATGTATGGAAAATGGTGAATGACCAGCAAGCTGGATAATCTTGATTGCGATACAGATGGCTTTGAACGCATGCTCACTCCTTTCCAGACTTATAAGCAACCGAATACGGGAATAAATATTTTATAGTTGAAGATTTAAATCTAATAAAAAATAGATTAAAAAAAGAAACATTTCATGTGGATAAGACGGGATTCGAACCTACCAAAAGAAATAAAAAGAAACAAAAATCGATTCAACTTTGCCATACCCCCGAGACATCCGCAGAGCTGAGGCGGCGTATGGACT